TGCCCAAAACCTGAGATTCCGACGTACCAGAATCCTGCAGGATTCTCCAGAAGGGACAGCTCTGGGTGGGAATTTCATAATGCTGAGGGGGAATTTTGACTCCTTGTTGCCCAAAACCTGAGATTCCCACCTGCCAGAATCCTGCAGGATTTTTCCTCCTGGCTGTGGCAGCTTTATGGGAACTTCCCTTTGTGAAGGGACAGCTCTGGATGGGAATTCCACAAAGCTGAGGGGAAATTTTGACTCCTTGTTGCCCAAAACCTGAAATTCCCACCTGCCAGAATCCTGCAGGATTTTCCAGCTTTATGGGAGGTGAAGGGACAGCTCTGGGTGGGAATTCCACAAAGCTGAGGGGGAATTTTGGCTGGTGGCTGCCCAAAAACTGAGATTTCCATGTGCCAGAATCCTGCAGGATTTTCCAGAAGGGACAGCTCTGGGCAGGAATTTCAATGCCGAGGGGAAATTTTGACTCCTTGTTGCCCAAAAATTGAGATTCCCACCTGCCAGAATCCTCAGGATTTTCCAGCTTTATGGGCAGGAATTCCAGGATACTGAGGGGAAATTTTGACTTGTGGCTGCCCAAAATCCGGGATGAGGATGGGCTGAGGCAGCAGTCAGGGCTCCGCAGAGTTTAATTGCAATTAAAGTTCATTTCTGATGGGCAGGAATGAGCATCCCTGGATTTTCGGCACGGCAGCCATGGGGGTGGGATCACGGAAGCAGAAATTCCGGATTTCTCCAGGTCTGCTCATTTCTTCTTCCTCTTGTTGCGGAACAGCTTCAGGATGTGGTTCTCGATCACCTGCTGGACTGAGGGAGGAGAGCAGGGTTCAGGAGGCTGCTCTGGGAAGGAGCTGGGCATCGTTTCCTGAGGGAAAAGTCCCATTTCCTGAGGGAAAAATCTCATTTTCTGAGGGAAAAAACCCATTTTCGGAGGGAAAAATCCCAGTTTTCTGAGGGAAACCCATGTTTTCTGAGGCAAAATCCCTGCTTCCTTAGGGAAACCCTTACTTTCTGAGGGAAACCCCTGGTTTTCTGAGGGAAATGCCCGTTTTCTGAGGAGAAATCCTTGTTTTCTGAGGGGGAAAATTCCATTTTTCTGAGGGGGAAATCCCATTTTTCCTGAGGGGGAAAATCGCATTTTTCTGAGGGCAAAATCCAATTTTTCTGAGGGGAAAATCTCTGTTTTCTGAGGAAAGCCCTTGTTTTCTGATGGGGAAAATCCCATTTTTCTGAGGGGAAAATCCCTGCTTCCTGAGGGAAATCCCATTTTTGATGAGGGGGAAAAAAACATTTTTTCTGAGGGGGAAAATCCCATTTTTCTGAGGGAAAAGTCCTAGTTTCCTGAGGGAAACCCTTACTTTCTGAGGGAAATACCCATTTTCTGAGGAGAAATCCTTGTTTTCTGAGGGGGAAAATCCTGGTTTCCTGTGGGGAAAATACCTGTTTTCTGAGGGAAACCCCTGTTTTCTGAGGGGAAATCCCATTTTTATGAGGGGAAACCCCTGATTTCTGAAGGGGAAAATCCCATTTTTCTGAGGGGGAAAATCCCATTTTTCTGAGGGGAAACCCCTGATTTCTGAGGGGAAAATCCCATTTTTCTGAGGGCAAACCCCATTTTTGGGGGGGCAAACCCCATTTTCGGAGGGCAAACTCCATTTTCGGGGGGCAAACCCCATTTTTTGGGGGGCAAACCCGATTTTCGGAGGGCAAACCCCATTTTCGGAGGGCAAACCCCATTTTCGGGGGGCAAACCCCATTTTCGGAGGGGGACACTTGCCTTTCTTGTGTCCCAGGGCCACGGCCAGGTCCATGGGGGTGTACCCCGAATCTGCCTCCTCCGTCAGGTCGGCACCGCAAGCTGGGGGGCAGCGGGGGTGAGGGGGCTCGGGGACCCCCAGAACTGCCCCGGGGTGGGCAATGGGGGCTTTGGGGGGCTCGGGGACCCCCAGAACTGCCCCAGGGGAATGGGGACCCCCAGAACTGCCCCAGGGGAATGGGGACCCCCAAAGCTGTGCCCTGGGGTGGGAAATGGGGGCTTTGGGGGGCTCGGGGACCCCCAGAACTGCCCCGGGGGAATGGGGACCCCCAAAGCTGTGCCCTGGGGTGGGAAATGGGGGCTTTGGGGGGCACAGGGACCCCCAGAACTGCCCCGGGATAATGGGGACCCCCGGAGCTGTCCCCCAATGGGCAATGGGGGCTGCCGGGGGGAACGGGGACCCCCGGATTTTGGGATTTTCCCTTACCCGGGAGCAGGATTTGGGGATTTTCCCTTACCCGGGAGCAGGATTTTAGGATTTTTCGTTTCCCGGGAGCGGGATTTGGGGATTTTCCCTTACCTGGGAGTGGGATTTGGGGATTTTCCCTTACCCGGGAGCAGGATTTTGGGATTTTTCCTTACCCAGGAGCGGGATTCGTGGATTTTCCCTTACCCAGGAGCAGGATTTGGGGATTTTCCCTTACCCGGGAGTGGGATTTGGGGATTTTCCCTTACCCGGGAGTGGGATTTGGGGATTTTCCCTTACCCGGGAGCGGGATTTGTGGATTTTCCCTTACCCAGGAGCAGGATTTTGGGATGTTCCCTTACCCGGGAGCGGGATTTGGGGATTTTCCCTTACCCAGGAGCAGAATTTTGGGATGTTCCCTTACCCCGGAGCGGGATTTTGGGATGTTCCCTTACCCCGGAGCAGGATTTTGGGATGTTCCCTTACCCGGGAGCGGGATTTGGGGATTTTCCCTTACCCAGCAGCAGGATTTTGGGATGTTCCCTTACCCCGGAGCAGGATTTTGGGATGTTCCCTTACCCAGGAGCAGGATTTTGGGATTTTCCCTTACCCAGCAGCAGGATTTTGGGATGTTCCCTTACCCAGGAGAGCCTCCACGCACTTGACGTGGTTCCCGCGCACGGCGTAGAGCAGGGGGGTGCCCCCGTTCTGTGGGGACAGGGCAGGGGAGGGTCAGGCCCGGCTCCTGCTGCCCCCGGGGGTCCCTTGGGGCTCCCCGACCTGCTGGGGTCCCCTCCAGCCTCCCAGTTACAGACTGGGATCCCCTCCAGCCTCCCAGTTACAGACTGGGATCCCCTTCAGCCTCTCCCAGTTACAGACTGGGATCCCCTTCAACCTCCCAGTTCCAGACTGGGATCCCCTTCAACCTCCCAATTACAGACTGGGGTCCCCTCCAGCCTCCCAGTTACAGACTGGGGTCCCCGTCAGCCTCTCCCAGTTCCAGACTGGGATCCCCTCCAGCCTCCCAGTTACAGACTGGAATCCCCTTCAACCTCCCAGTTCCAGACTGGGGTCCCCTCCAGCCTCCCAGTTCCAGACTGGGATCCCCTCCAGCCTCCCAGTTACAGACTGGGGTCCCCTTCAACCTCCCAGTTACAGACTGGGGTCCCCTTCAACCTCCCAGTTCCAGACTGGGGTCCCCTTCAGCCTCTCCCAGTTCCAGACTGGGATCCCCTTCAGCCTCCCAGTTGCAGACTGGGATCCCCTGGCCATGCTGGCAGCACTGGGGATGCTTGTCCTGATGTCCCCCTGTCCCTGCTATCCCCTGCTGTCCCCCTGTCCCCTTTGTCCCTCTGTCCCTGTGTCCCCCTGTCCCTGTCCCCGTGTCCCCGTGCCCGTCCTGTCCCGGGTGGCACCCACCCAGTCGTAGGTGTTGATGTCCACGTCCCGGTCCAGCAGCAGGGTGACGATGTCGGTGTAGCCGCCCATGCTGGCCAGCGCCAGCGCGCTCTCGCGCTCCTTGGCCAGCGCGTGCGGGTCCGCGCCCTGCGGGGACCGAGGTGACAGGGGACAGGACAGGGACAGGACAGGGACACCCTGGGGACAGGGGACAGGGACAGGGACAGGGATGGGGGAAAGGGACAGGGACAGGACAGGGGGACAGGGATGGGGGACAGGACAGGGACAGGGGACAGGGACAGGGACAGGGACAGGGATGGGAGACAGGGACAGGGACAGGGATGGGACACCCTGGGGACAGGGACAGGGACAGGGACAGGGGACAGGGACAGGACAGGGACAGGGACACAGGGACACCCTGGGGACAGGGACAGGGGACAGGGGGACAGGGGACAGGGACAGGGATGGGACAGGGGACAGGGGGACAGGGACAGTGCGCAGGGACAGGACAGGGGGACAGGGGACAGGGGGGTGACATTGCCCTGGGGACAGACCCCAGGCCCAGGACAAACCCCAGGACAGACCTGGGACAGACCCCAGAACCAGGACAGACCCCACACCCAGGACAGACCCGGGACAGACCCCGGACAGACTCGGGACAGACCCCAGACCCGGGACAGACCCCAGGACAGACCTGGGACAGACCCCAGACCCCGGACAGACCCGGGACAGACCCGGGACAGACCCCACACCCAGGACAGACCCCACACCCAGGACAGACCCGGGACAGGCCCAGGCCACCCGGGGAGCCCCGGGCCTCACCCAGTCCAGGAGGTGCCGCACGGTCTCGATCTCCCCGAAGGCCGCGGCCCAGATCAGGGGGGTGAAGCCCCTCTCGTCGGGTTTGTTCACCAAATTCTCACCTGGGTGGGGGGACAGAGCCGGGTCAGCCCCCCCGTGCTCCCAGTCCCACCAGTCCCACCAGTAAGGGCTGCGAGGCCTCCTCAGCCAGCTGCTGGCTGCTGGAACTGGGGATTCCGGAGGATTTTTCCGAGAAATCTCCACAGAAATGGAAGCAAACCACAATTCCAGCGAGTGGAAACCAAGTGAGAGGGCACGGAGAGGACCTGGCAGGTCCTGGCAGGGCCAAAGGGACACCAACCTTTCCTCAGGTGCTCCTTCAGCTGGATCAGCTCCCCCTGGGCAGCCAGCTGGTGGATGGACAGCGCTGCAGGGGCACAATCCGTCAGGAAAACAATTCCCTGAAAATCTGGGGGTGGCAGCTGTCCCCAAAATCCAGCAGTGACCCCAACCCCTCCCCTGCTGCCCCCAAAATCCCGGGGTGACCCCAACCCCTCCCCTGCTGTCCCCAAAATCCCGGGGTGACCCCAACTCCGTCCCCTGCTGTCCCCAAAATCCAGCAGTGACCCCAACCCCTCCCCTGCTGTCCCCAAAATCCCGGGGTGACCCCAACTCCGTCCCCTGCTGTCCCCCTGTCCCCTTGGGCAGCGCTGCAGGGGCACAATCCATCAGGAAAAGCAATTCCCTGAAAATCTGGGGGTGGCAGCTGCCCCAGGGTGACCCCAACCCCATCCCCTGCTGTCCCCAGAATCATGGGGTGACCCCAACCCCTCCCCTGCTGTCCCCATGTCCCCTTGGGCAGCGCTGCAAGGGACAAAATCCATCAGGGAAAAATAAATCCATGAAAATTTGGCGGGTGGGAGCTGCTCCCAAAATCCCGGGGTGCCACCAGCCCCCTGCCCTGCTGTCCCCAGAATCCCAGGGTGACCCCAATCCCTCCTCTACTGTCCCCAAAATCTCAGGGTGATCCCAACCCCTCTCCTGCTCTCCCCAAAATCCAGTGGTGACCCCCAACCCCTCTCCTGCTCTCCCCAAAATCCCGGGTGACCCCAATCCCTCCTCTACTGTCCCCAAATGGAGCAGTGAACCCCACCCCATCCCCTGCTGTCCCCAAAATCCCAGGGTGGTCCCAGCCCCTCCTGTGTCCCCTCTCCTGCTGTCCCCTGTCCCCACAGGTGTCCCCACGGGTGTCCCCACAGGTATCCCTGTCCCCACGGGTGTCCCCACGGGTGTCCCCATGCCCACGGGTGTCCCCACAGGTATCCCTGTCCCCACGGGTGTCCCCATGCCCACGGGTGTCCCCATGGGTGTCCCCTGTCCCCACGGGTGTCCCCACGGGTGTCCCCACGGGTGTCCCTGTCCCCACGGGTGTCCCCACGGGTGTCCCCAGGGGTGTCCCCACGGGTGTCCCTGTCCCCATGGGTGTCCCCATGCCCACGGGTGTCCCCATGGGTGTCCCTGTCCCCACGGGTGTCCCCACGGGTGTCCCCAGGGGTGTCCCCATGCCCACGGGTGTCCCCACGGGTGTCCCCTGTCCCCACGGGTGTCCCCACGGGTGTCCCCTGTCCCCACGGGTGTCCCCACGGGTGTCCCTGTCCCCAGGGGTGTCCCCACGGGTGGCACTCACTGTCCAGCGTGGCGGGCAGCGCTGACACCTCGTTGCCTCGCTGCCTGTTGGTCAGGGTGTTGGAATGCTTCAGGGGGAAACCTGGGCCAGCCACGGGAGCCAAAATCAGCCACGCTCCTTTGGGTCATTCCCAGTTCATTTGGGTCATTCCCAGTTCATTTGGGTCATTCCCACTTCACTTGGGTCATTCCCACTTCATTTGGGTCATTCCCGCTTCATTTGGGTCATTCCCACTTCATTTGGGTCATTCCCGCTTCATTTGGGTCATTCCCACTTCATTTGGGTCATTCCCACTTCATTTGGGTCATTCCCAGTTAATTTGGGTCATTCCCACTTCACTTGGGTCATTCCCAGTTCATTTGGGTCATTCCCAGTTCATTTGGGTCATTCCCACTTCATTTGGGTCATTCCCAGTTCACTTGGGTCATTCCCAGTTCATTTGGGTCATTCCCAGTTCACTTGGGTCATTCCCAGTTCATTTGGGTTATTCTCCATGAATTTGGGGTTATTCCCAGTTAATTTGGGTTACTCACAGTTAATTTGGGGTTATTCTCCATGAATTTGGGGTTATTCTCCGTTAATTTGGGTTATTCTCAATTAATTTCGGGTTATTCTCACTCCATTTGAAGTTATCCTCAGTTAATTTGAGGTTATTCTCATTCCATTTGGGGTTATTCTCACTCCATTTGGAGTTATTCTCACTCCATTTGGGGTTATTCTCAATTAATTTGGGGTTATTCTCAGTTAATTTGGGGTTAGCCTCACTCCGTTTGGGGTTATCCTCACTTCATTTGGGGTTATTGTCCATTAATTTGGGCTTATTCTCACTTAAATTGGAGTTATTCTCCATTAATTTGGGGTTATTCTCAATTAATTCAGGGTTGTCCTCAGTTAATTTGGGGTTATTCTCCATCAATTTGGGGTTATTCTCACTTCATTTGGGCTTAATTTCCATTAATTTGGGGTTATTCTCCATTAATTTTGGGTTATTCCCAGTTAATTTGGGTTATTCTCCATTAATTTGGATTATTCTCAATTAACTCGGGGTCACTCTTGATCAATTTCTGGTTTATCTTTATCCATTCTCTACCTATTTAGTTATTCTCTCTTAATTTCAGGTTTATTTTCTATTTATTAAAACCCACAGCACCCAGGTCCCTCCTCCTACTGCCCATCCTCGACGGGCTCCACTTGGGAATCCCAAATCCCTGAGCCGGGGTTTTATTGGGAAAAATCCAAGGAAAATGAGAATTCCCAGCTCCAGTTCCAGCGTGGAGCTCCCGGGGCTGGCAGGAGCAGACACCAAATTTTGGGATTGGGATTGGGATTTGATTTTCCATGTTAAAGGAGCAGTTTGAGGCTCTTTTTGGGAATCCCAA